ATGAACTTACTAACCCATGCAGTCCAGAGCTGTCTTCTTAAAGTGGAACTGCACTGCATCTGAGCACAAACCAAAAATGCTATTTAACTCATTTTTAATGTTAAAAACAAACTCAACCATCCATCCATGTCTCCATGTTTAATTTTGCTGAGAAATAATTTTGAAAAGCATCCCCTGGCATTTCTGGCTGTGGCCATTTTGAATAAGAGCAGATGATTCATTTATCATTTACCTGGATTCCATCTGACCTTAGCTCAGGATCTGAGGGACCTGAAGACTGCTGGGATGTATGACATAATTTGCCTAGGCATGAAAACCAGGAAGTAACCTGGGATGTATGACATCATTTGCCTAGGCATGAAAACCAGGAAGTAACTGAAGAAATCCAAGAAAAGCATAAAACTAGTAAATATTGTATACTTTCCTATCTATTTACTAATGCTAGCAGCATAAGGATTAAAAATAGCTCAGGTTGACTGAGAGAGTGAAGATCCGCTTTAAGGTTCCTGTTCCTTTGTGTTGCCACCTTGGTTTCAGAAGCCCGCTGTCACTTCTGCAGGTATTAACATTAGAGATGAGCGAATTATTCAAAAATTCGATTCGGCTGATTTGCCGAATTTGCGGGAGAAATTCGATTCGATGCGAATTTATTTGCCGCGAATTTAACTTATTTAAAGGGTTTCTAGGCTTCAGAGAGCCTTTATATTAGTGCAGAACACTGTACCTTTAATTTAAATGCCCTTGGAGTCTGCTGGGGAAGAGAAATAATACTGTCAGTCAGTATGACATGCAGATGAGTGCCGTCGATCTTAGAATCACCGCACACTTCACTCATTTGGGCAGTCACGGGGCACGACGAAGAAGAAGAAGAAGAATGAAAAGAAGAAGAAGAAGAAGAATGAAAAGAAGAAGAAGAAGAAAATGAAAATGAAAAGAATGAAAAGAAGAAGAAGAAGAATGAAAAGAAGAAGAAGAAGAATGAAAAGAAGAATGAAAAGAAGAAGAAGAAGAATGAAAAGAAGAAGAAGAATGAAAAGAAGAATGAAAAGAAGAAGAAGAAGAATGAAAAGAAGAAGAAGAATGAAAAGAAGAAGAAGAAGAATGAAAAGAAGAAGAAGAAGAATGAAAAGAAGAATGAAAAGAAGAATGAGAAGAAGAATGAAAAGAAGAATGAAAAGAAGAATGAAAAGAAGAAGAAAAGAAGAATGAAAAGAAGAATGAGAAGAAGAATGAAAAGAAGAATGAAAAGAAGAAGAAGAAGAATGAAAAGAAGAAGAAGGAGAATGAAAAGAAGAATGAAAAGAAGAAGAATGAAAAGAAGAAGAAGAAGAATGAAAAGAAGAATGAAAAGAAGAAGAAGAAGAATGAAAAGAAGAAGAAGAAGAATGAAAAGAAGAATGAAAAGAAGACGAAGAAGAATGAAAAGAAGAAGAAGAAGAATGAAAAGAAGAATGAAAAGAAGAAGAATGAAAAGAAGAAGAAGAAGAAGAAGAATGAAAAGAAGAAGAAGAATGAAAAGAAAAAGAAGAAGAAGAAGAATGAAAAGAAGAAATGAAAAGAAGAAGAAGAAGAATGAAAAGAAGAAGAAGAATGAAAAGAAGAAGAAGAAGAATGAAAAGAAGAAGAAGAAGAATGAAAAGAAGAATGAAAAGAAGAAGAAGAATGAAAAGAAGAAGAATTAAAGTACAGCAAAAAGTGTATCTGCAGAGAGCTCCGCTATTTCTGACAGTTCTCTGACAGTTCCTTCACATTTACAGCGGTTGAAACATTGTATCTATTTATTTCCGAATAAAAACATCTGTATCCTAAATGGAAACAAATAGATACAATGTTTCAACCGCTGTAAATGAACTGTCAGAACTGTCAGAAATAGCGGAGCTCTCTGCAGTGACACTTTTGCCGGCTGATCGGGAAAAATTCGATTCGTGCACCCGAAGTTTGCTAAAATTCGGATTCGATGCGAATCGAATTTTTCCTGATATTCGAAACGAATTCCACTTCGCCAGGTTCGATTCGCTCATCTCTAATTAACATCAATGATTGCTTCTTGCCATCCGAGGTACCTGATTAAAATACAAATGTTGTGAAAAAAGTATGGCTGCTTTAATTTTTGTCCTCTCTCTGACTTCTAAACTTTTATATAACAAACCTGTGGCAAACTAAAGTAAAGCATTCCTGTGTTCATTCCTGATTAGTGACTCAATGTATGTAAGCCAAAGCATGACAGCCAGGCAATTAGCATTCCTTGATAGAGAGGTAATTATTGGCAACCTACATAGTTTTCTCCTTAAAAGGTTTCCATAAAGCAGTGATGTCAGGTTGAGTGCAAGAGAACGTTTATTAATTAATTAATAATTATATTTTCTTTTAAAAACAATTAACAGACATTCATGTATCATTAAGGCCTCTTGCACACTGCAAGGTGAAAAAGCTCAGTGCAGCGTTTTGTTTTGTTTTTTTTTACTGATCTAAAATGCAACCCATTGTTTACCATGTGCCTGCACACACAGGCATGTAAACAAGTGCTGCATATTCTTGAGTATAAAAAAAAGAACAATTTGTGTTCCTGGTCAGATTTTGTACTGCACAAATGCGAGCATATGAGCATAAACATTCATTGATTTTACCTGGGAATGTATTGTGTGTGCGATTGCGCATACGCGCAAAAATACATGCTGGTTCATACAAAACAAATGCCTGAAATTATGTCCAGAACTGCTGATGTTCAAAAATCAGTACCATGCACATGAGGCCTTAGGCACAGATGAACTTAAGCCACAAACAACCATGCAGTTCTACAGCTTGGAATGTATGCTAGTTCCTTTAATCCTGAACTCCAGGCATACAGCTAAGTACACATATGAAATGTATATATTGTAGCTGTTATACCTGCCAAAAAAATGAGATATACGGTACATAGCTCTGCTGCAAAGCTCAGCCTTGTCTAGCAGGTCAGACAACCTGATTAATCTCTGTTACAGTTAAAACACTGAAAGTAAAAAAAAAATACTTAATGGATCCTGCCAAAAATCTAGTAACCTTTTATTTTCCTATAGTGAGCTAACAACTCTGCTGTACTGACATCCTAGACAGTATTGCCAGACTGCCTAGTTTTCCTCTGCTGGACTGCAGAACATGTCCCTCTTATGGAGATGAGGGGTGAAGGTATTTTGTAGTATAGGAGGGAGCTGTGCAGTCTGACAATACCATAGCTCGCAACTGTTCTTCATTTGGATGGACTGTCCAACTTTTGAAACAATATCCCTCAGTCCCTCATGCAGCCACAGTTGCCATTCTTTTTGGTCTGATGTGTACATCTTTATACAAAATTGAATATTTTGGAAAATGTTACTACCCAAAAGTGTTATGCTGCAATAAAAAAAAAGTGTATCCATCTTCTAGATCACTGCATGTGTAATTTTGAAAAGCCAATAGAATGGAAAAATAGAGGTTAAAAAAAAAATCACTTTTTTAGTTTAGCCAATTATTTTCTGCACATTAGATTTTTGTGGTTAGCGTAACTGGGCCATGGCAGGGACATGTCCTTTGCCTATGTAATGTTTCCCTATGTAATGTATGCTAAAAGGTGTCCCTTTCTCATTTCATAAAGTTGGAAGGTATGCAATGCTGTTTGGAATTTCAGTGCGGCAGAAGCAGTGTTGTCAGAGCCCACTGGATTTCTGGCACATCAACAGATATTTTCCTGGTACATGCAGTGCTGCAAAACACGTGAAAAAGTTCATAGTCCATTCGTTTTTTTTCCATTTTACCACAGTATACACTTTGTAGTAAATCTTGTAGCAAGGTACATTCACTTTCATTTATTCAAAAGCTTGCAGTTGGCCAGTATGCTGGGTGCATTGCAAATTAAGTCATGCTTGCTGTATTTTTGAAAGCAGGCATCTGCAATTTGTCATCCATGTCAATTTAGATAGGAAAAAATACAATGCTTTTGAAATGCCCGACAGCACAAAGTGCATTAATGCATGTATTCTGGTGTAAATGAACCCGTGTTTGATTTATTTGACTGCTGAATAATTTGTTTTCAAAGATTAGACTACTCCTATGTATTGCATTAGTGTACATGGCCACCATCAGGTCTGCAGACACCCTGGTGTCAGAATTATGTTAAGAGAACAATGGCTGTTGGTGCAAACCTATCTGCTTCAGTTTGGAGGTACTAGGTTTTGTGGAAAAGTTTTTTTTTTAGTTTTTGAAATAGGGAATAATTGAACAAAGGTTCACACCTATGCGGATTTTAGTGCATTTTCTAGTTTGCAGAAACGCACTACAGTCCATTTAACATGGTTTACTATGGATCTAGTTCACATCTGTGTATTTTGAGACAGTGCTTTTCTTGGAAAGGGTCAGGGATGTTTTTTTCCCTGCAGCAGATTGCATTTTACATGTAATAGAGTTCAATGTTCAATGGGCATACACAAAGTGATATGTTTTGTGGGAGATTTTTTTGCTAATAGGAAAGTATGACAGTTCTGTCCATGCAGTGTGACTTTGATCTGACTTTACACTCTCTGGTACTCAAGTAGCATCAAAGTTGTATCAAATTAGCGCAGGAACCTTTATGTGTCCAAAGTCGCATGTTAGGGTTAAGGGCTAGGGTTAGGGTTAAGAACTAGGGTTAGGGTTATGGTTAAGTGCTAGGGTTAAATGTTAGGGTTAGGGTTAAGAGTAGCCCTTAACCCTAACATTTAACCCTAACCCTAGCCCCTAACCCTAACATGCGACTCTGGACACATAAAGGTTCCTGCACAACTTTGATGCTATTTGAGTGCCAGAGAGTTTAAAGTTGCATCAAAGTTGTAGTACATGAACAGAACTGTCATACTTTCCTATTAGCCAAAAAAAAACCACACAAAACTTGGCAAAAAGGTGTTCAAAAATGCATAACGTAAAAAAAAATGCCAAAAACGCATCAATCACAACCTGCATAGATGTGAACCTAGCCTGAGACCCCTGTTAGAATTTTATATTGCTATATGTGTAGTGTCAAGGAGATTTTCCTTCAGTTCCTGTCCCAGAAACACTGAGGGAAGAGGAGATGTCTTTAAAGCAAGGGAATATCTCCTTTTAGACCGTTGCTATAGAACAGGTTTCCCCATTGGAAGATTTTTCCCCATCGCCTGTTTCTGTGACAAATGAAAACATTTTGTTTTGTGAGAGCAAGTTCCAGGTGACTAATTACTGATGTTGTCACCCCAAATGCCTAGTCATGCAAGAGTCAACTCCTGTCAGTCTCAAACAGCACAGTCAGCTGCAGGGGCGGACTGACAACTCATGGGGCCCCCAGGCAATAGGGGATCATGGGGCCCCTGTGTCCTTTACCAAACTCAAAAAAGCCTATGAAAAAGGTACCAGGGGCATCTCATGGGGCCCCCTACTGACCCTGGGCCCTCGGGCTGTGCCTGAGTTTCCAAATGGTCAGTCCGCCCCTGGTCAGCTGACTAGCTATGTTGGCAGACATACATATATAAAGTGTATATTTTTCATTTAGGCTACAGTAAGAATGTACTCAACCCTTATTGCTTGTCCTGCTGACCATTGTCACAAACTGAAAATACGGAAACATCCAATCTTCCCATCACTGGCATTGCGTCAGGGCTGAGGACATTCAATGGGTAAGGAGAAATGGGTGGTGGTTCGGGGGGGGGGGGGGGGGGGAGTTTGGATAAAGCTTGAGGTCATTCATCGTGTCAGGTGGGGGGGGGGAGGATGAGGATGAGGACATTATTGGGGGAGGGCTGAGGTCATTGATGGACAGGGGGACTGAGGACATAAATGTGGTGGGTTAGGGACATTATTGGGGAGCTGAGGACATTAATGGGCAGGAGCTGACATCATTAATGGAGGGCGTCTGAAGACACTAATGGGGGATCTGAGACCATTAATGGGGAAGCTGAGGTGCTAAATGGAGTGAGGGACTGAGGACATTAATGGAGGGGGCTGAGGGCATTAAAGGGAGAGCTGAGGACATTAATTGAGGGGGGGTGGGGACTGAGGTAATTATTGGAGGGGGGATGAGGATATTAATGGGGGAGGGGCTGAGGACATTAATTGGGGAGCTGAGACCATTAACGGGGGAGCTGAAACCATTAATGGAGAGGCTGAGGTTATTAATGGAGGGGGGGCCTGAGGACATTAATGGAGGGGGGGGAGCTAGGGTCATTGGGGTTATTAATGGAGGGGGGCTGAGAACAGTAATGGGGGGGCTGAGGACATTGATGGGGGAGCTGAGAACATTAATGGGGAAGCTGAGACCATTAATGGAGGGGCTGAGGTCATTAATGGAGGGGGGGCCTGAGGACATTAATGGAGGGAAGGAGCTGGGATAATTGGGGTCATTAATGGAGGGGGGCTGAGAACAGTAATGGGGGGGACTGAGGACATGGATGGGGGAGCTGAGAACATTGATTGGGGAGTTAAGAACATTAATGGGGAAGCTGAGACCATTAATGGAGTCACTGAGGACAGTAATGGAGGGGGGCTGAGGACAGTAATGGGGCCACTGAGGACATTAATGGATGAGGATTGAGGACAGTAATGTGGGCTTTTAGGACAGTAATGGGGAGGCTCAGGACATTAACAAGGGGATATTAATGGAGGGAGCTGAAGTCAGTAATGGGGGTTTCAAAACAGTAATATGGGGAGTTGAGGACAGTAATGTTAAGGGGAGGGTATGTGATGTGAAGGGGGGACTGAGGATGCTGATGTAAGAACGGGATTGTGATATAATGCTAGGTCCAGGTCTTTGCATGCACATTTGCACGTGCAAATCGATGATAGGGCAGCCCATTAATTTTAATGGGCTGCACTACCTGCGAGAAACGCTGGGAAAGAAGTTCTGACCCATTTTCTTTTAATAGTGCCACGCCAAGCTGTATGGTGCTGCAGCACCATGTTGTGTGGCATGCAATAAAATGTGCTGTAGGTGCTGATATGTAGGGGTGATATTAAGAGGCCAGTGCGTGACAGCTCCAGGCCACACAGTCTGTGGGGCAGTCAGTCAGTCACTCTGTGGGGGGTCCCTAATGTAAGTGGAGACACTGATACAAAGGTCCCCCCTTATATCAGTGTCCTCACTCCCCTCTTACATCAGTGAACCCCTTTACTTTAGTGTATTCACTCTGCAGACTGGTGTAAAGGAGAACTCTGATGTAAGAGGTTCTACATCAGAGTTCCCCTTTCACCATAGCCTGCAGCATTCCCCCTTACATCATGGTCCACAGTGTTCCCCTTTACATCATGGTAATGGTACTCTAATGTACTGGTGTACTTTAAAGGGGAACTCTGATGTAAAGAGGGCTCTGGGAATACTGGGAACTCTGATATAAAGGGGGACGCTAATGTAAGGGCAGCAAGGAGGCCCACCGCAGAACATGTGAAAGGGTCCCGCTGCAGGACCATAATAAAGAGCAACATGACAGGACTAAAGAGCCCCAGGATCAATGAGAAGGGGCTTGAGTCAGGGGGTCCCTTCATGGTTTCTTGCATTGGGGCCCTGAAGGTTCTAGTTACGCCTTTGCTTCCCAATATGATATGAGCAGCAAAAAATAACCTGGTTTTAACCCTTCTCTACTCTATCCCCCCAAAAAAAAATTTTTTCTTGCAGACTTGAAATGAGAAATTAAACATAATGCCTAGCTTAGTACATATTAATGCTGTATTAATGGAAGGGGCCCTGACCGTCTGGGTAGAAGTGATCAGATTCCTTTGTGTATATCCAGGGTGCATTCACTCTTTTGCATTTCTGTAGAAATTCCTTCCTGCTACATCCTTAGATTGATTTCCTGCAAAACACACTTCCCATAGAGATGTATGCCAAAACATACCACACCTAAAATGTAGAGATGCCTCTTGGGACAGTTATTTTCAGTTTAACATAATAATTGCAAAGACAACACTAGTCACTTAAAGTCTGCCATTATATATGTCTTGTATATAAAGTGATAATAACACAGTATGATAATAATCTAAAAAGCACAAAGACTGACTGTGCAGAATTGTATTTTTAGCAATACAAAATTGATCTTGTGTGAATATGTGACAAATCCTAGACAGTAAAAGCTTGAAGCCTGTTTTCATTGTCACTCAGTTTGTTGTTAGCTATTTAGCATATGAATTGAGTTCACAAAACACTTTGTTTCAGCATGTGTTAAAATATATCAGTGGTAAGACCATCCTGTCTGCAGGTCAAGACAAAGCAAGTGTAAAGGGATCTCCTAAATAAGGTGTTTCATTTATAATGTTAATGTAATTGGGTGGATATATTTAAGCATATATTTAAAGCTTGGTACACACAATGAGAATATCAGATGAATGATTGTCTGTTTTGTTTACATGCAACTGATAGGTTACTAGAGGTTAAATCCTGTATAATTAATCCTGTATAATAATAAGAGGTTACTAGGAATCCGAAAAGTTCTCCTAAGACAGAATACAACTTCCCGTGATGATGTAATGTATTGTGTTAGCATGCGCCGAACATGTGCAGTCTTGGTCACTCCATTTTTTATAGACAAATAGTATGCTGATTATATGAAAATCATTTTTTCTTTTATCTTACAAGAAAAAATGTTGTGCTTGTCCCTTTGGATAATTTTGCAGAAACTGTCAAAGTCGGTTCTCGAAAACTGTGTACTAATGATCAGATTATCAGACGATTGCTCCGAAAGTGGGTTTTTTTGTCCAATTTTCTCACCATATGTACTAGGCTTATTGTAGCCGGCAGCACTGATAAGTGTATTCTGAAGAGAGAATCTCCCCACCATCAGAACAAAATAGTGAAGAATTTCACATGCACATCGAGTGTGTGGATGAGGAAATTAGGTAAATTTTTTTCCATTCAACCCGCTGCTTGAACAAAAAAGAATGCATGTCTGCCTTAGTTTCATTAGTTCCTATGTTTCCTACATAAAGTTGTCAATGGACATTTCATGGCGATTGAACATTAAGAAGTGATCCATCTGGCAAAAAAGGTTTCCCACGCAAACACTGAATATAGACACTACTGGGTAGTCAAATATGCAGGCACAGTTCAGCCACCATATAGTATATGTGATGACCAGTGCATCCCTAAATATCCTGGTTTTGGCCTCTAGAACAGTGTGGAGGAGGCACACTACAAATACCCCAGGAGCTGGCATAATAGGGAAAAAGCAATAGTAGCTGCATAGGGTTTTATAAGTGACCCAATTGCTTTCCAGGTGAATGAATCTTGTACTATTTGCAGGTACCCCAAAGATATTATATTATAGACAATGCTCTAATATGTGTGGATACCTTTAAAGGCATAGTAAATCTTTATTAAAAAAAACTGCTTATGCAGGCAAGGGGAACCTGTAGATAAAAATAAACTGTGCAGCTTTGATTAAAGCTGAATAATGCCCTGAATAAAACTCCTAGCTCTTACCAGGGGCGGACTGACCATTTGGAAACTCGGGCACTGCCCGAGGGCACGGGGTCAGTAGGGGGCTCCATGAGATGCCCCTGGTACCTTTTTCATAGGCTTTTTTTTAGTTTGGGCAAGGACACAGGAGCCCCATGATCCCCTATTGCCCGGGGGCCCCATGAGTTGTCAGTCTGCCACTGGCTCTTACTATTCACCTCCACCATCATAGAAGCAAGCTCCTTCTCTGATTCAAACCTCCTCACATGTGCTTTCTCTCCCTTGACGCAATTGCTCTTAGCTCAGAGTTTGAGAGCTCGCTTTTATAATGGTAGAGGTGAAAAGTTAGAGCTAGGAGTCTTATAGCAACATTCTACAACAAGGCAGGAAGGGATGATGTGATCTCTGGGAGTTTTTCAGTCAGGCTTCAGGAGGTTCATACACTATATTGCCAAAAGTATTGGGACACCCCACCAAATCTTTGGATTCAGGAGTTCCAATCACCTCCATGGCCACTGGTGTACAAAATTAAGCACCTAGGCATGCAGACTACTTCTACAAACATTTGTGAAAGAATGGGTCTCTCTCAGGAGCTCAGTGAATTCAATCATGGTACTATAAGAGGTTGCCACATGCGCAATAAGTCCACCCGTGAAATTTTTTTGCTACCAAATATTCCACGGTCAACTGTTAGTGGTGATTTAGCAAAGTGGAAGCAACTGGGAACAACAGCGACTCAGCCATGAAGCGGTAGGCCATGTAAAATGACAGAACGGGGTCAGCGAATGCTGAAGCGCACAGTGCTGCAGAGTCAATAGCTAAAGACCTCCAAAATTCATGTGACCTTCAGATTAGCACAACAACAGTGCGTAGAAAGCTTCATTGAATGGGATTCCATGGCCAAGCAGCTGCATCCAAGCCTTACATTACCAAGTACAATGCAAAGCGTTGGATGCAGTGGTGTAAAGCATGCTACTACTGAACTCTAGAGCAGTGGAGACGTATTCTCTGGGGTGACGATTCATGCTTCTCTGTCTGGCAATCCAATGGAT